CCAGGTGAAATTGAAAAGAATGAAATAATACGAATCCATATAGCAGCATGACCGCCGTAATCCAAGTTTCGGAGAGAGAGTTACTTCAACAGCATTTCGCGAGCGTAATAATTAAGTAAGGACCCTTTGTGAACCATTGTGAGATGACCAAGAAACTTCAATGTAGCTCACCACATGCCAAGTAAAGTACTTGGATTTTGACCTTATTTTGCGTTGTTTTTCATGCCTATTCAAAGAACACCTAATAAACTGCACACTCTACAGCTAGAACGGAGCTGAATAAAGTGGTTTAAATCGCCCTTTCTTGTCGAATTTTTTCACTCCTTTTTGGCATTCCCAATAATGTTTAGCAAAAATGAACCCCATCTGTGTGGTCCATGCATGGACCCCTACATCATGCAACGAACCGTTTCTAAAGAGTTCACCATGACGACCTCCCGTTATAGGCATAAGGCACGGTAACTTGCTACTTGCTACAGTAATATAGTAGTGGTGCAATATAGTAGCGAAAATGACGAGAAAAGTGAAGTTATGGACCAAAAACCTGCGAAAAACCTTTATTCTGCATGCCATTGGATGAGCATATTTGGACGAGTTTCCGTATGGCATCGTGCCAACGACCACTTAGGTAGATACGGTTGCACGTATGTACATATTGGCTAATGCCGTTTGGACTCCAGCAACTTCGGCACCGAGCTCATTTTTAAATTGCCTAAGTTACCAAATCCGCTAAAAACTTGTATGTAGGGGTAGTTTAACATCCTGATTACGAATATGACATTCACTCTTGCCGCTGGCGCTAATGGATGACACTACGATTACCTGCGCTCCGCTAAGGCTGAGCCCAAGAGGTAATCGTAGTGTCATCCCTTGGCGCCAGCGCCAAGAATGAGTGTCATAATTGTAATCAGGATGGTAAATAACCCTTGTGTACATATTTTCAGCGGGTTTGGCGACTTAGGTAATTTAAAAATGAGCTCGGTGCCGACAAGTTGCTGAGTCCAAGACGGCTATAGCCGTACATATTCATACATCCATAAAGCGACACTTCATGTCTGTTCTTCTTCATAAATGAAGCAATAACAGCACCCGCGTCGATGGGACTGTACGGACAATTGTGGGCGGGCATTGCGCTGGGTGTCCGGGTCGGCATACTGCAGCCTCATAAGGGATTATAACGGTGAATTCGTTGAAAAGGTGCCATACAGTGTCTGCTTAGAAACACTAAATTCTGTCCTGCTGAGCGTACTTATCTTATACGCCTTGTAGAGTTATCGTTTCCATTTGCCCCTTGAACGCAACAGTCGGAGGTATTTACTTACAATGAAGCTCAGAGAACTATCGGGTCTTCCTGTAAAGTTCATGAAGACCACGAAGATCATGCCCGTAACCCAGCTTAATTTGCTATCTTAACACTACGGCATCCACATACTCCCAGTGAAAGGCTTCTATACTGTAGTTCATTGCGGACGGTTGGGCGTGTTCGTGCGGCTGCGTTTGGCGTGGTGCCAAACTCGTTCTCCACGAGTTGTACAAGCGAGCAAATAAAAATACTGTATCATACCCTTCGTGTTACTTGTTTTCTGATGTTTTTTGTCGCATGCCCGTTTCAACGGTCCAGAGAACAGCTCAAAGAGATTGACACATCCTTCTGGCTGACACGCCCAACCGTCCGCAGCGAAGTAGAGTGTACATGGTCAGTCGCAAACGGACCGCTTGTTCAAATTAAGATGAGGCAAAAGATTAAGCATAGTACGCTAATCACTAACATCAAAGGATCAAGGGTCCGCAAAAATAATACATAGCATTTCAAATAAAAGCGCCAAAGAAAATAACTGTGAAGAAGTAGCAACCTGATATCGCATTTCCACAGTCTTTTTCAGATGGTCACAGTGGAAATAAAAGTTTCTTTGACGACTTTTTTCCTGCAGTGCACTTCGAATCGATCAAGCCCAATGTGATAAGGCCCCTTCGAATAGAACTGAAAGAGCGGCAAAGAATGATACGCAGTTTCTTTCACTCGGTACCTATGTGACGAAAGCACAGAGGGGAAACGGGTCACAGTGCCACATCCTCATTCAAGTTCTTATGTCCACTTGTCAAGCACATTATATCGTAATTCTCTCCGATAAGCCTGATGAAGACCGCAGCGATTCCCTTATCGCAGCACATCGACGAATGCCACCAGTGCACTGGCCTCCCGGATTGCCAGAATGGGCTTCTTTGTATCCCAATGTTGCAACCAACAAGCACAGTTCCAGGTACGTTAATCCATAGCAAGTAGTATCAATCATAGAAGCTGGAGGAACTACTACCACGACCATTATAAGGACCTCATTTAGAGAGATAATCGTCAAATTGCTCGCTTCTTCATGATCGGTACAGGAGCTGCTGGTAAGACGACAGTGGTTCGACAACTGAAATGTCTATGCAAAGAACGGCCGAAAAACTACAAGGCAATTACTTTCACCGAAATCGATTTGTTTGTTCCGTTATCTTATGCAAACTCTGTTCTCCTGCAGGTCTTCGATTCACAGTGGAATGAAATTCCAGTCGATAGCATATTTTCCAGTGAAGAAATGTCCACTTTCCGAAAAATTATTCGCAATAACATAATGAAAGCCGTGTACAACCTCATCCAGGTGAATCAGCCAGCTCTTGTGATGTAGTATACAGTAAAGCTCGGGTTGTGATGGAGCAGCTCCTCCCGGAGATGAACTGGCAGGCCCTCTTTTCACACAGTCCCTGTTTTCACAGTCATATTTGAAAAGGTCTTCTATCTACATTTTTCCAATTTTTTTCGAAAAACACCAAATTTCGTTTTGCCTCGAAGCTGAGAGGTCTGTTGGAGAACGATATCTTCTGAGTAGAGCGAAACGAACTATTCCTTACGATTCTCGATCTTTTTTATTGCATGACTCATACTTAAAGCCCTTTCAGCAGACGATTGATTGGGGCAACGACTGCCAGGCTTCGAAAAGTGTGGAGGCAATCGTGGCAGTCGTCGAAAATGGAGCCAAGGATGGGAAAGACGCTTTCGAGGCAGATGTCCCGTCGTCTTTAGAAGATGATGTGCTCGAAATACTTCGGGATCCAAACGTTAGTAGGCCTTTCCTTACCAGCAAAGATACAAAAGATGAGAAAGTTCCAATGCAGATAGCCGAAACGTTGGAGAAGCACCACAAAATGGCTCGAAAATGGCGAATTGAGGATGGAACGCTGAAATTTCTCTCGGAAAAGGAAATCAAACGCATATTCAGTGACAATGTGGAGTTAACAACCATCGACATCGTTCATGCAAGGTACGTCTCTAAACTTGAAATGAAATGCAAATTCCATGAATTTGTGGATATAGATGAACCACTCGTTTTCTACAAATACAACCGGACTATATGACTTATTATTCTTATCCTCTTCGGGTGTAGGTTACGTCTCTCGGACAGGGTAAATCGGGGCAGAATCGAGTCTGCCTGTCCTGCCCTCCTGCTTCTTCTCCCTAGCGTTAGTCTGGCGGCGGCAGGGCCCGCTGTTCTTGTGAGAT